ATTCTGTTTTTGTTGCAAATTATTTGGTGGTGGTCAGCACAGTCTCATTGATGGTGGTTTTCAGTAATGGCAATATAACCACAAACCTCTCAAAACTCATGAGAAAAATCATGTTCAATCAGATACAAAGTAAAGTGGAGAGAATTGGAACCATGACTGAAAATTGAATCTGCAATTGACCCGACTTCACAATCATGGCTCAAAACTAAGAGACAATACTTGCAAGGTGTATTTAAAAGAATTGTGGCCATTGTTCTTCACTTAACTTAACAGAACCCAGCATTTTGTGGATCCGTGGAAAAACTTAATGAGTGGAAATGGAAACTTTTTAGGCCAAGTCCAATTAATGGCTAAATTTGAGCCTGTGATGGAGGAACACAAGATGGTTCTTTACTAAAGAAGAAAGACACCAATACATAAGCCCCACAATACAAAGTATCATTTTGAAGTTATCGCAAAAGGTAACAGGTGCAATTAGCAACATAAACAAAATGAAGTATTACTCCAATATTTTGTATTGTACATCTGCTATCAGTCACGAGGAACAAATGTCTGTCATTTTCAAGTATGTTAATATCCAAGAGACAGAAGTCAAGATTGAAGAGCAATTGCTATCATTTCTGAACATAGAGGAAACTACCAAAAAGGCTCTGTTAGATGAGATACTTTAAGAGTTATCCAGACATGGTATAACATTGGATAACTGCAAGGGACAGGGATATGATACTGGAGTTAACATGAGTGGACAGCATCAAGATGTGCAAGTTCATTTAATTCAAAAGAACAAAAAGGCATTTTTTGTTCCTGGCAGAGAGCAAAATTGGAAATATCAAAGTTCTGCAGTTTCAGGCACAGTGTACACAAACAGTACTACTGAATTTGAAAGAAATGACTAAAGATAATGGGGTATATATGCAAAAGTAGATCACTGGCAGATGAACTCTCCTCATTTCAGTTCAGTCTCACTTGTGGCTTGTAAAAGCTTACTGCTTAAAATTAAAATTGCAAAAATAGAGCTCAATGCTTGGTCTTGATGAAGTCAGCATATCAATTAAAATTACTGGGACAAACAGAATTATCATGAAAATTGATTTGAAGAGGTGTTAACTGCTAAACAGATAGCAGAAAAAATGTCAGTGTCTGCAGAACTAGCTGAAACATGAATCCGCAGTAATAAATTGCAAAGCTACAAAGCAGAGGATCAAGTCACTGGCAATGCAGAAGAGAGATTTAAATTTGACTTCTTCAATATTGCTATAGACGCTGCTCTCCTGAATCCGGGACAATGTTTTTCATTTTTGTGAGAACACGTGAACGAGTTTGGATTCCTGTGTAATATGAGAAACATACCAAACTTTTTTCCATCAAGCATGTTAGAAAAATTGCACAGTAACCTAGAATCAACTCTGACAAGTTCTGATGGCTGTATTGTGAATATAGACGGGTACGACCTGGTACATAACTCCAGAGTCTTTCTGGTGTTTTACCGATGCACTTGAGACACTTCAATTCATTTCCAGAAGCAGTTTGTCCACGCTGTACCCAAACATGTGTATTGCTCTGCAGGTGTTTCTCACAGCTCCAATCTCTATGGCACTGGCAGAAAGAAGTTTCTTAAAACTTAAGTCAATAAAAACATATTTGAGGTCTACCATGTCTCAAGAACGTTTAGTAAGACTGACTACATTGTCCATAGAAAGTGACATTTGCAAGACACTGGACTTCAAGCACATAACAGAAGAATTCATCAATAGAGCACTCCATTACTCAGCATAAACAGGCTATTTATTTTTTTATTTGTTTAGCTTCAAAGGTAGTCACAGCCAACTACTAGTTGTGGATTGTCATTATTTGCATACTTCGATTAAATTGGTAATGGAATGTTATTAATGGAAAGGGGACTCGCTAGGTTCTCTCGCAGGTAGCCTCCAAATTTCTTGCTATGGCACTGTTGGGGTGGGCTGTTGGTTTTTGTTTTGGTTTTTTTGGTAAAAATAAATACTCCCTTACCCTATTGCTATTATTAAAAAACAGCCAACACCTAACAGTGACTTATGTATAGCCGACTCAAATCAAAAGTGCGTTCTTGTGATCCTGTTCATCTTAGGCACTTATATGACCCTTCAACCATAGTATCTAAACAGCTCAGACTCTTTAATGTATCCATCTTTCGGTGGTGGTGGTGGGAGGAGGGGGGGAAGAAGACGAAGAATTATCCCCATATTACACATGGAAACTGAGACATAAGGACTAGGTAATTTGCTCAGACACCCTGTGGCAGACCAGGGAATTGAATCCAGGTCTCCCAAGTTCCAGGTTATCACTCTAGTCACTGGACCATCTGCCTTCTCTGGCTCTACAGCAGAAAGTAAACTACATTACCTGATGATAGATTAAAGGGAATAAGCAAAAAATTTCAGCCTTAAGAAAAATAACTTTTGCCAAAAGGAAAAAAATTAATACACAATGTATACATACAAACTATTAAAGAAGGTGGTAATAGTGTTTTTAAGGAAACAATTTCTACAGTACACCAAAGAACACAACTGTAAGGATGTAAAAAAATACTCTAAAAACCTTGCTAGTAAAAAGGACCTGATTAGCTAAACATTTGATACAAAAATCTTTTTATTTTACTATAGTTAAACCATTCACATGAATTTGTTCTGTAAATCCAATATCTTACTGATCTCAGAAAACACGCTGAGAGCTATACATATATTTACAAGATCTTCCCAGAAGATCTTACAAATTAATTCAGATATAAAAGACAGTTGAAACTTGTAATACCCAGAAAATAGTGAAAACTTATAGCTGTGAAAATGTGTAAGAAATCATTACTGAAAGGCTTCAATGACAGAATGCATTTGAAGACGATTTAAAAAGGAAAAAGGCAAGTAATTTGGCACACCAGAAAAGAGTTAATTCCAAGCACAAGGGGCAGCATGATAGAATATGCAAAGGAGAGAGTCAGTGGTTGCCAAGGGGGCTTTAGAAGTGAAAAGTGTTTGAGGTGTGGGTAAGTAAGAACTTATCACACTCCTCTTTGAATCCCTCAAACTTGCTTCCTTTCATCTTCTGCATCAAGCTTCTAATTCTTCCCCTACAAAGTTCTGTAAAACTCACATGCCTATAATTAACCGGGTCATCCTATTTACCCTTTTTAACAATTGGCACATCATAGAATCATAGAACTGGAAGGGACCTTGAGAGGTCATCTAGTCCAGTCCCCTGCACTCGTGGCAGGACTAATGATCTAGACCATTCCTGACAGGTGTTTGTCTAACCTACTCTTAAAAATCTCCAATGATGGAGATTCCACAATCTCCCTAGGCAATTTATTTTAGTGCTTAACCACCCTGATAGTTAGAAAGTTTTTCCTAATGCTCAACCTAAACCGCCCTTGCTGCAATTTAAGCCCATTGCTTCTTGTCCTAGCCTCAGAGGTTAAGGAGAACAATTTTTCTTCCTCCTCCTTGTAACAACCTTTTATATACTTGAAAACTGTTATGCCCCCTCTCAGTCTTCTCTTCTCCAGACTAAACAAACCCAATTTTTTCAATCTTCCCTCATAGGTCATGTTTTCTAGACCTTTAATCATTTTTGTTGCTCTTCTCTGGACTCTCCGATTTCTCCACATCTTTCCTGAAATGTGGCGCCCAGAACTGGACACAATACTCCAGTTGAAACCTAATCAGAGCAGAGTAGAGCAGAAGAATTATTTCTTGTGTCTTGCTTACAACACTCCTGCGAATACATCCCAGAATTATGTTTTTTGTTTGTTTGTTTGTTTTTTTAACAGGTGTTACACTGTTGACTCATATTTAGCTTGTGGTCTACTATGACCCCCAGATCCCTTTCTGCAGTACTCCTTCCCAGGCAGTCATTTCCCATTTTGTATGTGTGCAACTGATTTTCCTTCCTAAATCCTTCCTTCATCACCTGTCTTCCAGTCTTTTGGAACTTCTCCAGTGCTCCAAGACTTACTGAAAATCAAAATCAATGGTTCAGTAATCTTCTCAGCTAAGCTGTTTTACAAATCTTGGATACAAGTTATCCGTACCTACTAATTTAAAAATGTCTGTCTAACAGCTGCTGTTTTAACATCCTCCAGAGATACTAGTGGAATCGAAGGAATTATCACCATAGGATAAGACTATATTATCTGTTTTTTCCCCAAAGACAGCACAGATTTCCTTAATGAATACTTCTACTTTTTCTGCATTATTATTGATAGTTCTACCATTGCCACATAGTAATAAACCAACACCATTGTCAGGATTCTTTTGTTCCTAATATATTTTAAAAGCTCCTTATTGTCCTTAAGTTCGCAGGCTACAGATTTCTCTGCGTCCCCCTTGGCTTCCCTTATCAATTTGCTACAATTCCTAACTTCTCATTTGTATTCATTACTATCACCTTCATCGTTCTTGCACTTTTTTTTTATTTTTTTATAGCTGCCTTCACTTCTATTCTAAACCAGCTCAGGTTTTTAACCAGTACAACCTTCTTTCTCAACTGTGGGAATGTAGCTTTTTGGGTATCTAGTAAGGGGTTCTAATTATCATTCATGATATCTCTGCTCTTTTCCTCCTCCTCACTCCACCCTAGACTCCCTCCTAATAGTTCCTTTTATATCCTCCTTCCACATAACTCTGAATCTTCTTCCATGTCATTCCTAGCATTTGGAACGATCATATTCTTATGCATTAAATGATTTTCCTCTCTAAATAAGAGAATAATTTTACATTTTAAGAGACTTTTAATGAACCATTCTATTTGTTTTGGTTGTTTTTTTAAACTCCTCTGAGCAGGGAGTGTATCCTCATTTGTGTTTTGCACAGCAGCAAGCAGAATGTCAACACTTAATAATGGCTCCTTGTTTTCATTGGAAGAAAGGATATGTTGAACAACCCTATGACAGTTTTTGTACTCTTACAAAATACCGTGCATTTGATATTTGATCAATCATCAGAGGAGTACTGTTTGAAGCAGCTTACCTGACAGAGAGCTGGCCAGGCTACCCCGACGCAGTTTGCAGTCATCTTGACTTAGCTGACGATGGAGTTTAGTTTTCCCAGTGGATGAAAAGATGTCCGGGTTACTGAGCTTTCTGCACCGTAATGGAGTGGATTCTGTTACCACATCCTTGGGGGGAAAAAAAACACCACAAACAAAAGTCTGTAAGAACCAACTAAACAGGTTTCAGAAAACAGACAATTTGCCTAGAAACTAATCATAGAAATGTAGGGATGGAAGTGATCATCTATCCATCCCCCACAACTGAGGAAAGACCAAGTATACCTAGGACCATCCCTGACAAGTGTTGTCTAAGATGTTCTGAAAAACCTCCAATGGCGGGGATTACACAATCTCTCTCAGTAACCTATTCCAATATTTATCTATTCTTATAGTTAGAAAGCTTTTCCTAATATCTAACTTAAATCTCCCTTGCTGCAGATTAAGCAGATTTCTTTCTGTCCTGCCCTCAGTGGAGATGGAGAAGGAGAGGTTGAGGTTACTTACCTTATACAGTAACTGGAATTCTGAGATGTTTTGTCCATATGGGTGCTCCACATGACGATGTGCGCACACCTGCACGCTCTCAATCATAGACTTTTCTGCTAGTAGTGCCTGCAGCTCCACGCCTGCACCATACATGTCCTTGTGCTCTGGTACAAGAGCATATAGGGAGGAGCCGACCTGTGCCACGCCAGTTCCTTAACCACCACAGAGTATGGTTAAAAACTCCAAAGCAGAAGGGAAAGGATGGCAGGCAGTGGAGCACCCACAGGACAAAACATCTCAAATAACTCCAGTTTGTACAAAGTAAGCAACCTCTCCTTCCCTGAGTTATTGTTCCTATGGGTGCTCTACATGAGGAGATTCCCAAGTAGTGCCTTAATGTGGAGCAGGGTGCTGAGGAGGTGTACCCAGTGCAGAGTGTAGAACAGCTTCACTAAAGGCTGCATCCATCCTGGAGGCATGGAGTAAGGCATAATGCTGTGAAAACATGTGAATGGAGGAGCGGGTGACTGCCTGCAAATGTCCTTGATGGGTACCTTCCTAGAGAGGGCAACGGAAGTAGAATGAGCCTTTGTGGAGTGAGCAGCGACTCTAGGAGGGGGGGTGCAGCCCAAAGGACTCATTCCATGACAAAATGCACCCCCCCCCCCGACACCCACTTAGTCTCGGAGAGAATGTCCTGATTGATAACACTTTAGGGATGAAGTGAGGGGGTGACGGAACATAACTTTATCTGGATGAAATACTATATATGGTGGGTTAGAGTCTGTACCTCTATATTCACCCCTTTTTCAGGGCTGTTAAATTTTGTACAAAGTATGCCTTGTGAATTATCATTTGAAAAGTCAGTTTGTTGATCATTATTGTCCTGGTAAAATATGTATGGCAACATTTAATGTAAAGTTATAGGATTCCTCTGTATGGTATTACTAAGACATGTTCCATGTTTGGGGGGAGCAGTCACAAACCAGTTCCCCAGTGACAAAACACTAGCCAATGCCTCAGCCAGATGTCAACAAAATCATATAGACCAGTTATCTTCACTATTTTTGAAGTGGGGGCCACTTTGGCAAAAAACCTTCAATGTGAGAGCCACATGTGGTGGGGCCGAGGAGGTGGTCCAGGGTAGGGCAGAGGGTAGGGTGCGGGAGTGAGGGCTCTGGCTGGGGGTGAGGGTTCTAGGGTAGAGCTGGGGATGATAGGTTTGGGGTGCAGGAGGGGACTCGGGGCTGAGGCAGAGGGTTGGGGTGTGGAGGTGAGGGCTGCAGGGTGGGGCTGGTGATGAGGGGTTCAGGGTGCAGGAGGGGGCTCAGGGCTGGGATGCAGGAAGGATGAGGGCTCTGGCTGGGGGTGCAGGCTCTGGATTGGGGCTGGGGATGAGGAGTTTGGGGTGCAGGCAGGCTGCCCCGGGGCTGGGGCCAGAGGACTCCCCCCAGTCCTCTCCCTGACGGCAGGTGGCACTGGAGGTCTGGGGGGAAGGGGGCTCTCTCCCCACTGCCGGCAGGCGACATGGGAGCTCTGGGGGGAAGGGGGCTCTCTCCCCGCTGCCGGCAGGCGGCACGGGAGCTCCGGGGCCGGGGGAGAGGCCCACAGCAGCCCCGCAAGCTCCAAATTGCTCCCCTCCCCAGTTCCCACCCACCCCCTACCTCTCTCCTCTACAGGTCCCTGCTGCGTGGCCCTTTAGAGCTGCTGCGTGGCTATTTATAGCCAGCTGCGCAGAAGAGCTTAGAGGGAACTTAGGGAGCCGCACTTAGGGTTGATGGGATCCCCACTGGCTCACAGGCCTTGTAATGAAGAACACTGAAATAGACCATCACTTGGTTAAGCGGCCATTCTTTGACAGGAAAGAGAACGTGGGTGAAATCTACATCTTCACAAAGAAACAGCTGGGGGTTCCCATCCACACAGACCCTCTGTCTCTGAACCTCAGCTGGAGATGATTCGCAAAGAAGAGAAAGAATTATAAGAGGAGAAAGGAGATGCCCCAAATGATTCCTCCTTTTCTCTCTAATGAGGGCACTGACAACACTTGAAGAACAAAGGAAACAGCTTTGGACTGGGGAAGGGATCCTGACTGAAAGGAATTCAGACAATAAGACTGCTGTAACGTGATGAAAGAGACATTTGCTTTGAATTCACTTAGCTTGTTAAATTAGGCATTAGTTGTATTTTACTTTTATTTTCTTTTACCAATTATTACTTTTATGCCTCATTACTTGTAGTCATTTAAAATCTCTCTTTTGTAGTTAATAAACTTGTTTTATTGTTTTATCTAAATCAGTGTGTTTGGATTGAAGTGTTTGGGAAACTCCATTTGTGAATACAGGATTTGTGCATATTTTCTATTAATAAAATGACAGACTTTATTTGAGCTTGTATTGTCCAGGAGAGAGCTGGGCAGTACAAGACATACATTTCTGGGGGAAAGTCTGCAACTTGTAATTTCCTGGTGTTGCTCTGCAGTGTAATTCAAGGGTGGCTGGCTATAGCACTCATATAATATAACTAGGAGTAACTTACATGCTGGAGCCTGTGTGAGAGGAAACCAGGCGTGGTAACTCTCACACTGAAGCAGTGTAAAAGGCACCCCAGGTTGGAGAACTAAAGGGACACAGCTGTTCATCAGTCCAGACTGTACCCTGGGTAATGTCACAGCGGATCAGCCATGAGGGCTCCTAGTTCCCCTACCCTTCTGGCCAAGGTGATTACCACAAGGAATGAAGTCTTGAAGGACAAATGAAGTAGTGAACAGGTTGCCATGGGCTCAAAGGGAGGTCCTCTTTATGCCTTAGGCACTAAATTGAGGTCCCAGGTGGGGTAGGGTCACACAGTGGAGGCCCTTAAGGAATCTTGCGTCATAGGATACATGAAGACCAAGAAACCTTCACTTGGCAAATGGAATGGGGTGATGGCAGCTAAGTGAACCTTGACAGAGCTCAGGGACAGTCCCAGCAATTTCAGGTTTAGTGGGTAATTGAGGATAGCCACTAGGGGAGAATCAGTAGGCAATATGGAGCACTAGGCATGCACCAGATCTGAAAGCATAGCACTTTTGCAAGTCCTTCATGTAGTAGGTTTCCTGCTATTTAACAGAACCCACTGGACTTCAGGAGAACATTCCTGCTCTAGGTCCGAGAACCAACAAGGAGTCAGGCCTTGAGGTGCCAGGATGATACACTAGGATGGGTTATTGAATCTGACTCCTGGGGCAGAAGTCAGTCATTAGACCACATCTGTCTCAACCATGCCAGGGCTATGAAACATGATCACTCCTTTCTCTTGGTTCAGTTTCGGCGGGGCTTTGTGGATCCGTGGATTTGGAGAGAAGGCATACAAGAGACCCTGACAGCAAAAGGGCAGGAAGGGCATCTCCCAGGAAGTCACAACAGTGTTCCTCCCTCCAACCCCTTGAGAAGACAGAGGCATTTTGAGTTGGAGGGTGTGGCACCTGAGGAAGACCCAGATAAGGCAGATCTCTCAAAAAATTATATTGGTCAGCTCACTCCTGGTCTTAATGGAAAATTCTGCTCAGCAAATATGCAGTTGTGTTTTGTGATCCCGGCATATAGACCACTGAGATCTTCATTTGCTGGGCTATGCACCTATTCCAAACCTCATTGACTCTTCCCATAAGGTTTGGGATTTTGCTCTTCTTTGGCAAGATATATATTACATAGCTGCTCACTCTGATTGCTTGGCCCCAGATGAGAGATGCGAAGCAAAGTCAGACATAGCAAATTGCTCAAAATTCAAGGACACTGATGTGTAGCAACAATTCTCAAGGAGTCTATCTGCCTTGCGCTGTGTCATTCTCTAGGTGTGCCCCCCCACCAGCATCAAAAGAAGGCAGGCACCCATGGTGATGACATGTTTGGGAAATCAATGTGAGAAAGAGGTTCCCACTTTTTGAGGGTCCTACCACCAATTGATGGAGTTGAGTATCATTCAAGGGAACAATAACTCCCTGGACAGCTTGGGCTTGTTGGGGGCGTAGGCCATCGGGAGCTCAGCTAGAAGACACCAGAATTGCAGCCTTGCACCGAGAGTTACAAAAGTGTAGGTCGCTATGTGTCCCGTGAGCCGAAGACAAGCCCCCACCTTGGTTTGTGGGCTCTGATGTAATGTGGAGATCAGGCCAGACATCAGGGCAAACCTGTCCACAGGTAGGCACACTGACTGCCTCAGGGTAATGATCAGTGCTCACTATGAACCTGAGGTAGCACCAGTGTGCTGGTTGTACACCTATTTGAAAGTAGGCATCTTGGAAGTGAAAGGCAATGAACCAGTCCCTGGCATCTAACAACAGAGTGATCACTGCCAAAATTTGCTGCTGATAAATTTGGGAAGAGGCAAGAAAAGCAAGAGGACAGGTCACTGATTCAGAGCAATCTGGATTGCTTGGTAATCTAGGCACCAGCAAACAATACAGTAGGACCTCAAAGTTATTAACACCAGAGTTACGAACTGACCCATCAACCACACACCTCATTTGGAACTGAAAGTATGTAATCAGGCAGAAGAGATTGAAAAAAAGCAAATACCATACAACACAGTACTGTGTTAAATGTAAAATACTAATAAAAATAAAGGGAAAGTTTAAAAAAGATTTGACAAGCTAAGGA